CATTCTCTTAGTTTAATGACTTATCAAATTTTTATATCCTAGATTAGATAAGGTAACTCGTGATTACTGATGAACATTCTTCAATTAGACTGGGTTGACTACCTACTTTGACTAAGTAAACTAAGGTTCCTGATAATCCATGGTAATGGAATTGTGAGATCTTGATTGACTTTTATTGAATCCAGATTTGTTCATGAATTTCTTATAATGAATAGAATGTAAGTAAGATGAGATAGATAGAGAGTGAGTGAACAATAATTTGTCATGATCAATCACGTTTATTCAAAAAATAATTCTCTTATTTATAGAGAAGATGGTACATAATGATGATATTATATTTTTATCTTTGTTTTAAAGAGGTTCATACTAAAGTACTTTTGGTATTTTACATGTATAAGCCTGTCGGCCAGCTACTTATTGACTTGGTCGAGTGCACTCAGTTAACTTTGGATTGCCAAGTTTGCTTTGTCAACTAAAATCAACTAAGTGTCTTGATTTTAGTTGATATGTGTTAGCCCGTTGATATGACCCGGCTATCAATCCTTAACCATTGATGAAGAGCATCTCGAAGTCTTTGGGATGATTGTGGTTGTTAGGGAACCGGATCTTCCCATGGATCGGGTCTCCTATGGTGGTTGGCTCGAATACATTTTTATCTCACTTTTGGATGTGTTTCTTGTTCTTATATTCTCTGGTTATCTTTAGTCTGATTTGTGGTTCGGCGGACTTTAGCTTCACTAGCATAGCTCAACATCTTCACTAGAATGGACTGGTAGACCTCATGACTTTCTGACAGTGGACCCTCCTTTGTCGTGCTCTTACCTTCCGGACAGTTAGATCACCTTAAGATCAGCGTCACCACAATTTTATGTATATATTGTAATATTAGATTGCATTGATTATTAATTAATGATTCAAAGGAAAAACTCCATTGATTTATACACCTTAAATTCTTATAAATAAAGCTTGATGAGGCTCTTTCTCACTCCTTATTTGCATCGTGGCTCCACTAATTTGAACCAGCCGACTTCCGAGTGTTATGATGGAGAATGTATAAAACATCTTGGATGATATCTACAATAAAGACATGCTCTATTTTGTCATAAGAAAATTGAAATGGCGAGTTTGCCCAAAAGTTGAAAGGAAGAATAAAGTCATCATTAAGAAGAGAAAAGTGACTACACTCTCACTGTCGGATCAAGAGGGAACGTTTGATTCATTCCTTAACAGTAAGTAGAGGAAATTGGAAGGACCATCGATTTGACAGTCGACCTTCTGTTGTTGTGCAAGACTTACTGATTGAACATGCCACATAAGAGGCTGTTGGTGCTCTCCAGTGACATGGTGAGGATGTTGTGTTGATTATGACGTCTTATTTGGATTGGTTGTTGAGAATAACGAGCCTTGGTTTTATTTATTGAATTTTAAATTTTTTTTCTGATGTTCTTTTGCTTTATGTTGTCTCTTGGTGTAGATGACTTAATCTTGAGAGGTCGGGGTGAGGATCAACCCAAGATGACATCAGTGAAAACTTGATTGAGGTGTAGTGGAAGAGGATTAGAAATTTAGCGAGGGAATTTGACTCTCGAATGAGGATGGTGAAGTTGATTGCCCCGATGTCCCTTTTCAATTTTGCGGGGAAGCAGTTGACTGGCTCAAGACATCCTCTATGTCCCTTGCCCAACATTTAGATGAAATCAAGAATTCATTCTCGCTGTCAACGGTGGTCCAACGAGGCAAGGAATTGTGCTAGTTGTTAGCTCTTATAGAGAATGTGGAGAACATGGAAGAGGTGATGGTCACTCTTCGTTGGGAATTGACGAACATCCACGAGAGGTCCTTGATACTTAAGGCTCAAGTTAAGACAAATTAACTAAATCTATTTAGGTATGGTAGAAAATATTATATTTGAGGTTGCATTGGCTTGGTTATGTCTTGACAGAAGATGTGGTCGGTCCTTTATAAAGTCTTTTATCTCATGTTATTTTTTTAGCACCTTTTGCTAATTTTTAGGTCCATTTAAGAATAAAATTTGTTTTTCTTTCTCATATTTTGTGTTGATGTGATCTCTCTGTCAGTGCATTTTGGAAACCATTATAGAGTTCCATTTTTACCCTTATGCAATGGTTCGGCTTCCTCGGTTTACTTATATAAAAAATGAGCATATGATTGGATATGTTATGCTTACTCTACCTTTTTTTTTTATTCTTATCATTCTGTCTGTCCTCTATCTGCACTCTATTTAATGGTCTGTGTTATGAGAGAGAGTCAATAGTGGTAGCTCAGGTGGCCAATAAGAAGGTTCATTCAATTTCTCGCATTGAAACAAACCAAATAGCAAATGTACCGGCGTGCAAGGTACTCATGGTAAGAAAAGGTCTTGAATGTGTGACACTTTCTATTTTTGATTCACTTATTATTTTTCAAAGAATTTCCACAGACAAGCTTATCCTCATCCAGAGGTCAACATTTTTTGTGTCCTCTGAGAGTTCTATATTAATTACAGGTCCATCGGGTGCATAACAACATGAGGCTGAGAGAACGTCTAGCTGAGAGGAGTTGAACAGTTGTGAGGGGAGGCTTTGATAGAAAGACAAGAAACCGAATTGGCCATCCTTCGTCAGCTTCTTCAAGGTTTATCAACATGTTTGTGAGAGATGAAATCAGCCATCCTTCTCTTATGGGCTTGCTTAGATTTCTCTATGAAGTTGAGCCCAAGCCAATCAGTTATGAAGGGAGCACTGCCATGAGGGGAAATCACCTCGTCATAGACTCGAGTGGATTGTGTCATGCCTTGTCTTGGAAGAAACATAAGGGATTCCCATTTAGCTGTATTTTGATGCAAGACGCAGAGTCAAAGGTAAGCACGAGCTAAGTTGGTAGGATTGCGTTGATCAATCTTCAAAAGGCCTAACATTCTAATTCTTTGGTGGTGTCTCGCTACCCTCCTACAATAGCCGGTGTTATTATGTCTCCCATGTTTGACGAGGCGCTTCAGAAACAAAGCTTACCAGTCTTGTGCCCATGTCCTATAAGTATCATTTAATGACTCGAGACGGTTTTATCTCTAGTCGACCATCCTTCTCCAGAAATGTCAAAGATGACTGAAGATCTAGCAGAAGTTGGCTAGGCTGAAGAGAGAGCGAAGGCAGCCGAGGCAAAGGTGCTCAGTCACTCAGAGTTGTTTTTAGTTACTTAAGAAGAGAATTAAGCCATGAAAGATCAGATGTTAACAATGAAGCCTTCTAATGATTTTTTTGTCAAGCTCTCCTCCCACCCGACTTAGGTCACTCTTCTCACCGAGAAGTTCAAAGATGGGGATTTCTTAAACATTGGTAACATGATAAAGGTCCAATTATCTTCTATTATATTTTTAAAGTATTGCTAAATAATAATGATCAAGTCTTGGAGAGAAGGGGATGCAGGGAAAATATTGTAGTATATCTTGATGGTCTATCAATTATATTGAGAATTATAGAGGAATAATACGTACTAAGTTTTTGTTTCATCACCTAAACAAATAAAAATTACTATATCTTTTATCTATATGTTCACTTTTATCATGTCATTATCTATCACCCTAACAAAATTTTGGTCATATTTTTTTCTTATATTAAAAGATCCAAACATGCATATCTTCTCTAAACCGAAGTGAAGCTAAACTTTCATTTTCATATTTGTATTTGAAATAATGCTCCAAATTCTAAAACCCTCAATGATTTAAGAACTCTTTTATGATAAAAATCTTTTTGAGAATATGCATTATGTACAAAACATGTTTTCTTCATAAATCTTGGGAGAGATGTTTCTATTTTTTTCAATATTAATTAAAGACCATATTGAATGATATGATTCAATACTTTTAAAATAGTGGTGATTGGACTCTAGTGAGCAAAAATGGCCACAATTGATAAACTTCCTTACTAAATAAATAGTGAGCATTATTTAGAAGATCTTGATCTAAAAAAACTTGTGAAATTTATGCATTACTGTTGTAATATAGTTTGTTTGAAATAATTTTAGCAAAGCGTAGTATTTAAATTTATTATGAAAAAAAATTGATAAATATAAGAAGTGGCCTTGATATTAAATTATTCATTTTTTATAACAATTTAGTATCATAAATGAGGTATGAATTCATGTCATATAAAACTCAAAAGGAAGGAAGACCAAGTCACTCAGAACTATATATGAGGATCAAATGTCCAAGAAATTAGAGAGGCTTAACTAGTAATTTAAACGGTGACAAACATTTTGTATAAAAATGAAAATTACCTCTACATTAAGTTATCCATAATGTGTAGAAATATAACTAATTTATAAATTTAATAAAGAAAGTTTTTATTTATTACATAAAAATCAATTAAATTGACATCATAAATCAAGCAAACAGTGTCATTCATCTCTCATTTCATAAAGCAACAGGATTATCAAGCCCATGGTCACCGCAATAGGCTCACTTGGGCTGGGGCCAAATGGGACAGTTGGCTTGGTGGACATAGATAGTATTTTGATGGTGACTTTTACTAGCAACATCCCTAATTAGAAATTCAAGCATATCATTTGAAAGCATTTCTTTGAAACTGGTAACTTTTAATTTTTAACGAGTAGAATCTAATTTTACTATTCCAACTCGTATAATTGACATGGAATTTTCATCCTACTTTGAGTAAATCAATGCCTCTATATATATATAAATGAATTAAATAGCTATAAACAGTCATTGGAATAGTTTTGCATGACAACATCTTTTTATCATGTCATTTATACTGAACAGCTAAAATTGACTTTGATTAATGATTCATGGTTTAAGAATATTTTTTGGCTGAGAACATCAATCATTGGCGAACCATGTATTTTTTTTTTTTTTAAGATTTACGAATCTTCATGCTAAATTCTCCATAACAAACATTAACTTCAAATAATCATTATTTAGTTGTCATTTATAAGAAAAACCTATTCAAATATGGTACTAAAAACCGACAGTATACAAAGGGTCAAATAATGCTCCTCCTCCTACGCTCAACTTTTCCTTATCTTCTCCCCCTCCCCCTCCTTTTCCGCTGATCCTCACCTCAGTGCCTCCCCTCCATCCCTCCCTCCATCCCTCCCTCCCTCTTCCAAATGCCGAACAAAATCCTTCTGATCTGTCTCCCCTTCCTCTCGCGGTAGTCTTCTGGGTGAGGTATTCCTCCCCTTCTCCTCCCGCCAAACCGGATCATATATCTAACCTTCTTCTCGCATTGTCCGGGTTGTTAGATCTCCGAAAACCCCGAGAGAGAGAGACGAAGAAAAAAGGTTCTTTGGCGCTGGTTTCCATGAAAGGAGGTGGAAACTACAAGGAAACCAGCTCCGACGCCTTCCCTGCCTCCGTCGCCAAGCAACATCAATGGGCTAAAGCCTCGCCAGCCAAATGGATCTCGCCCTCGTTCCGATTCTTCTCCTCCAGGTCTCTCGTCTGCATCGTATTCTTCACCTGCCTTTGCATTTTCTACATCCTCACCTTCTCCGCTTTCCCCTTCTCCTCCTGCTCCAACAGTCAAATCTCCATCTCCGATTCCGACCATCCCGGCCACTTAATCCGCCTCTCCTCTTCAAACTCCTCTTTCATTCCATCTCCCCTTCCCGCTTCCCATCCTCCCCCGGTTACTTTCTCGCCACCACCACCATCAGTGGAAACTTCCACGGGACTCAACCACATTGTGTTCGGCATCGCAGCGTCGGCCAATTTTTGGCAGAAACGCAAAGAATACATCAAAATATGGTGGCGACCCCGCCAAATGCGGGGCTACGTCTGGCTCGATTCACCCGTTAATGAACCAAAATCCTCCGCCGCCTCCCTCCCCGCCATTAAAATATCAGCAGACTCCTCCAAATTCCCTTACAGCCACAAACAAGGCAGCCGCTCTGCTCTCCGCATATCCCGCATCGTCTCCGAAACCGTCCGCCTCGGCCTTGACAACGTTCGGTGGTTCGTAATGGGGGATGACGACACCGTCTTCTTCCCCGACAACCTCGTCCGCGTTCTCAACAAGTTCGATTATCGGCAACCATACTACATTGGTTCCTACTCAGAGAGCCATCTCCAAAACATCATCTTTTCATACAGCATGGCTTACGGCGGCGGCGGATTCGCCATTAGCCGTCCGCTTGCGGTTGCCCTTTCTCGAATGCAAGACCGGTGTATACACAGATATCCCGCGCTTTATGGCAGCGACGATCGCATCCAGGCATGTATGGCTGAGCTCGGCGTTCCTCTCACACGCCATTCAGGATTTCATCAGTTTGATGTCTACGGTGATCTCCTCGGCCTTCTCGCCGCGCATCCCGTTGCACCGCTGGTTAGTCTCCATCACCTCGATCTAGTCGAAGCTATCTTTCCAAACTCGGAGTCTCACCCTGCGGCCGTCCGGCAACTGTTTGAAGGCCCTGTGCGGCTGGATTCTGCAGGAGTAATGCAGCAGTCGATTTGCTATGTTTCCCATCGGCACTGGACGGTGTCTGTATCGTGGGGTTTTGTCGTGCAGGTAGTGAGGGGGATTATTTCGCCAAGAGAGATGGAGACTCCTGCGAGAACTTTTCTTAACTGGTATCGCCGGGCAGATTACACGGCTTACGCATTCAACACTCGTCCCGTCGCGCGCAATCCTTGTCAAAAACCATTCCTTTACTATCTTTCTTCAGCTTCATACGATAATTCTCGCCACACTACTGTGACTCGCTACCTCCTTTACAAGGATCCCCGTCCTCCGGTCTGCCGCTGGAAAATAGCGAATCCGTCCACGCTTGTTGATGAAGTCGTCGTCTACAAGAAACCGGACCCTCTTCTCTGGGACAGAGTAGGCTTTCTCAACCGCTTCGACTCTGTTTCTACCCACCCTGCTTTGAGCATCTGTTGATTTATACACTTTGCATGCAGGCGCCGAGGAGAAATTGTTGCAGGGTTCTTCCGTCTTCTAAAGCGGGGAAGAGGATGATGGCCATAGAGGTTGGCCTTTGTCGTGACGGGGAGCTTGCCGGGACTAACTAGACTCTTCTTTCCTTGGTCCCCCTTCCTCTGGTACGTCTTCCATACGTACTAGTAAGTAAAAGATGGAAACTTGATTCTCTTCTCCTTTCGTCAGATCATGGATTCATCAGAAAGGATAGAGGTATGAATTCGCTAATCAACATGCGGTAGAAGCTAGATTTGATAGAGAGAGAGAGAGAGAGAGAGAGAGAGAGAGATTCATGCCATGTGAGTTCTGCTGTTAGGAGTATTACTCAATTATTTATTCTTTCTCGCCGGCATCATGGCTCTTCCAAATCTCTTAATGTCATTGCCCGCCGCTCATAATGTACTCGTTTTTTCATGCTTTTTGCACAGTTTCCACTTTTTTTTTTCTTTATAAAAACAGTTTTTTTAAGTCAAAAACGTAGCTGTAAAACTTTTATGCTTCACATTCAGATATTCAGATTCCAATTAATGCTGTTCATTAATTTCGTTTTGTTATTATTTAATGTATACGAATTAAAGATACTGCGGTTGATGGCCAAAAAGAGGAAGAGAGATTGGGATTTGGGTAATTGTTAAACGAGCTTATGTTTTTCTGGGAAGAACTGCGAGGACGGTGCTTGGTGTTTTGGACGGTGACCAACATCCGGCCGGTGCATGCTAGCACATGTGGGCCCCACTTTCTTAAGATATTAGGAGTGTGGGGCCCGCGTTCTTAAGTTTGTTTTGCGTTGTGGGCCCACGGATCACCGACAGCCTCCAGCGGAGACGACTTAACAGCTGGATGAGGTGCGTCGGTGGGCTTCTGTTCAACAGAGAAGACAATGGCCACGTGAAATCCTGCTTCCGATGAAAAGACCGGATAAGTGTCGCTGATAAAATTTAAATTATCTTATATTTCTCCCTCTCCCTCTCCCTCTCCCTCTCCCTCTCTAAATAAGAGATTAATTATTTAAGAAAATTTATAGGACATTTAACAAACTGTTACTTGCTAATAAATTATCACGGTAGGGTGTCATAGCTATTTCAGTGTTTCACGAGAAATTGATTTAGAAGACATATGTAGAAGATTTAGAAGTTAAACATTATGGTGCCTCACATAGTTGAAATGATTCTACTATGTGGTTGTAAGTTGCAAGTCTATTGACACTTGAACGACTAAAAGCAATATTACATAAGTGAAACGTGACTTTTGGTAGAAAATAATGAAGCCACGACCCAATTGCCATGAAGAAAAGTTGATGGTAAGTGTCATGTGTTAGAATATCTGCTATCTGTGACTTCGGTGGCGGCTGCCAGACAGCAATGCATAGGAAGCAACGATAGTGGTCTGACGGTGGTGGCGACTTGATGAAGATGGCCTTGAAATGGTGGTTCAACAGAAGTTTGGCTCTGGCGGTGGTAGCGACATGCCGATGGTGGCCAGGAAGCGGTGACGGTCGTTAAACCGTGGCAGAGGCTGGACAGCGGCACTTGGGCAGCAGTAGTCTTGCGGTGAAGGCGGCCAGTCGTGTGGTGATGGCGACGGCTCTACGGTGGCAATCGGGTAGCGGTAAAATTGAGTGGTGGTGGCTAGTCGGCGGTGGTTGGGAAGCGACCAGGAATATCCGCCAATGGTCGAGGCTTCACGGCGACCACCGTGCAGAGGTGGTTCTATGGTGGCTTGAAAGCGGTGGCTACCAAGCAATGGTGGTCTTACGGTGGCAGGGACTGGTCGGCGATAGTCCAACGATTGTGAAGCTCAGGAAATATCAAGAGCTTGGATTTCTTTTTATTTTCTCCTCCAACTCCATATTCTCCTTCATGAAGGGACTGAGAGTTTATTTATAGATTTTGCGAGCGGCATCCTCTGTAAAATCATATGAATTCAGATCACTCATTCGGATAGCCTAGAATGTTCTCTTTTACTGTATGATATTTTATGAATATTTGAGTGTCTTAATGATATCAGAATAAAGTGATCTTGAACTCCTTGAATTTGGCTCGATAAGATACTAAATTTGATTATAAACTTGTCAGATTTGAAATTCATTTGACTATTCAATTACTCATTCAAAACCTCCAATTGCACTTAAACGACTTGATTTGGGCTTCGGACTTGGATCAAACCAATTTTAGCTTCATTGAACTCACCTTGTAGGGACTGTCAGTTTGATTATAAGCTTGCTCGAATTGAGGCCATGAATGATCTTAAATTTAAATGTGGAATATTTATTATTAGAAATGTTTTAAGATTCGTGCATGATAATAATTATTTTAGTACATATCTGTTGCTCATCGTCCGGCAGTGGCGGCAGCTAGACGATGGCTACCGAGCAACTGTGGACTTACGGTGGCAGTAATTGTTAGGCGGCAGTTTGGTGTTGGTGAAGCACAGAAACAATCAAGAGCTTGGAGCTCTTTTTATTTTCTCCTCTATGCCCTTCTTCATGAAGGGAGTGAGAGTTTATTTATATGTTTTGTGAGCGGCTTCCTATGTAAAATTGCATGAATTCATGCCACTCATTTAGATAGTCCATAGTTTTCCCTTTGACCGTATGATTTTTTTTTATGAATATTTTAGTTTCTTAATGTTGTTAGAATCGAGTGCCCTCGAGCTTCTTAGATTTAACTCAATGAGACACTCAATTTGACTATAAGCTTATTAGATTTGAAATCTTTTTGACTATTCAATTGCCCATCCAAATCCTCCAGTTGCATTTAAACGACTTGATTTGGGCTTGATCTGATTTGGATCAAACCAATTTTGGCTTCATTGGGCTAGTTTTATAGGGGCGGTTAGTTTAGCTATAAGCATGCTCGAATCGAGGTCTTGAATGGTCTTGAATTTAAACCTGCATGATAATAATTTTTTTAGAACGTATCAGTTGCCCTTTCAACTATATGTACAGATATGAAATTTTAAGATCAAATAGGAAATATTATCACAAAAGAGAGCTGAAGGAACTGAAATAGTGCCCTCGAGCTTCTTGGATTTGGCTCGATGAGACACTCAATTTGACTATAAGCTTATCAGATTTGAAATTCTTTTGACTATTCAATTGCCCATCCAAATTCTCCAATTGCATTTAAACGACTTGATTTGGGCTTGATCTGAGTTGGATGAAACCAATTTTGGCTTCATTGGGTTAGTTTTGCAGGGGCGGTTAGTTTAACTATAAGCATGCTCGAATCGAGGTCTTAAATGGCTTGAATTTAAACCTGTATGATAATAATTTTTTTAGAACGTATCAATTTCCCTTCCAATTATATGTACAGATATGAAATTTTAAGATCAACTAGGAAATATTATCACAAAAGAGAGCTGAAGGAGCTTAAATAGTGCTGGTAAATTATGAAATTCTCCAAATTTGCTAAGCATGTAGACATACGCGAATCAAAATTCTGCATGGGCCCCCACAAAAAAAAAAAAAAAAAAAAAAACTTGAAGAGGTCAATACCTGTGATCCTATGATGAAACAACTGTCTTTCCTTGAAAGAGATTTTGAATGAACTAACCGGACAAACTGGGTTGGATGCGATCAAGTCCCACAGTCCTACGATGAGGCGACAATCTTTCCTTGAAGGAGGTGTTGACTAACCTCATCGGAGAGACCTGGTTGGAGGTTGTTCCTCAAGATGCAGCTTCTTATCTTATTAGAAGAGTTATCTTTCCTCAAGTTTGACAAGGAGCCAGAGTGAAGATAGAGGAAGCAGGATCTCATGATCGACGTGAGGATGAAAGGTCATTTCCACAGAGGCATTTTTTGAGAAATTAAGAGGGTTGGAGAGGTCATTTGACTCCTTGGTTGAAATATCCAATGATTTTCTTCCTTCTTCTGTTCAATGTTCTCCCTTATCTTTGTTTCTTTTCTACGAAACATTTTCTTTATGTTTTAGGCCATGGGTGAAAGATCCATACTAAAAACTGTCCAATATGTCCAGAAAGCGTCTGGGCTAGAGAAGACACACATCGATATTGTGGTACATAAATTATATTCTAGACTTGTTACTTTCTTCTTCATTTGCTTTTATGTTTAAGGTGTATATTGTATTTGTCGACTGTGAAAGTTGGTACCACGTTTACTAGCACGATAGAGGGCCAGATAATGCTTCGTAGAAGGTTTATTTTACAAATGATTTAGTGTAACTACGAAAAATGTCAGAGCAATCACACTCTCCCTCACCTGGGTATATCAAGATCTCTTAGATGATTTTGTTTGCAAAATTGAGATTCTTTTAGTCCCTGAGTTAGTTGGTGTATTTAAGTAATGTGATGTTGCTTTTATTACAGTTCTCATTTACGGCCCTAGTGGTTATCATGGGCTTGACCGGAACGTGATGCATCTCTGAATATTAAATACCTTCCTAGAATGTGCAGATTTCATGTGATGCTCAGGGGCGCATGTCGTACATGGGCATTAAAAATTGTGTGTAGTTTAAATTACAAGACCGTTCTAAAATTGGTCAAGCAGGTTCTTCTTTGTGGAAAATGGGTGGGGCATCCCAGAGAAGTGGGGAAGATTGAAATAGTGGTCACACTCTGCATTCGTTGGGGAATAAGATACATTTAGAGTTTTTGGTGTTCAACACGATTTGCGCTATATTGACATGTGTGTGATGGAGGACATATTATTTAGAGTCGGTCTCTCTATCCTGGCGGGGAGATTTCATCCTATCCCATTGAAGAGGTCAAGCAAAGGTCGCGAGTAATATTTATAGAATGGGTTGGGAGCAGTACACGCCAAGAACTCTTAACCCTTTCATGATTATTTATTAGAGTCAGACTCGGCGATGAAAACCCATACATATGAGGTTGGATTGAATCCCCTGAGGATTGATCATGCTCTGATTAAGATGCAACTAAGGTTGAGTATTTCTTGTGTCTAGAGCTCGATTTAGTTTGTGAATGAACCGCAATTTTTATGGAGGTACAGTCACAATGATCCGCACAGAAGAATAAAGAAGGGCAATCATATTCATTCAATAAAGCTAGGAGTACGTTAATGTCATAAGCATCAAGAAAAAGAATTTAATGTAGTCGATTTGGTCATGATTTATTAGCTTAGAAAGAAATTTCCTTAGGGCACATATTCTAAGTTGAATCAGAGGAAATTGGTACCATTTCAGATTTTAGGAAAAAATCAATAGCAATGTGTATGTACATCGATGATCTTCCAGCCCATCTCTTCATTTCTCCAACATTTAATGTTTTGAATTTATATTTATGCAAATCTCCAGATGATGGTGCTTGGGCAGTGATAGAACCCAGGACGAGTCTTGAAAACTGAAGACCATGATGCAGTATTTCCTGTTTCGTCTATATATTTACAATTTTCTTTTATTTAATTACTGCAATTATAGTTATATTAGTGCTTTAATACTACTTAGCTCCTTGATTACTCTTGCTTATAGCTATACCGCGATTAGTTGCTTTCACATGTACGACGG